CCATAAGGTTGGAGGGCAGGCATGGGGCAGATCACAAAGGGAGTAGTGGCCACGATGAAGCATTTGGATAAACTGCAAATAGGAGTTTTAGAAGGAATACAATGTGATTTCTCTCACACTTGGTTTTCTCTTTGGAGACAGGGTCCTGCTAGGTAGCCTAGGTGGATCTGGGACTCACCATCCTTCTGTCTTGGCCTCCCCGGTGCCAGGATCACAAGTAAGTACCACTATTAGCCACTCACAGTTTCAAAAGGGTATTTGTTTTGTGTGGCATACTTGAGACACCCAGGAAAGACATCAAGTGGGTAATTGGACATGTGTATGAAAACCGAGGCAGTGGAAGCTTCAGTCAAAACGCTTGGGTCAATGTGACCATTCCCAGGGCTCCAGTTACAGACTGGAAAGGGGGACAACAATCATTCTCACCACCTAAAGCCACAGTTCTCCAAAATTCTGATTTTTGCATTTTAGGTGTAATACTCTGAAGCTTGGGGGGGGGGATTACTTTTATCTATGAATTCCACAATACCACATACCTTATTGAAATCCCCTGTTTTAAAAGGACTAGAAAGAGCCGGGCGGTGGTGGCGCACGCCTTTAATCCCAGCACTCGGGAGGCAGAGCCAGGTGGATCTCTGTGAGTTCGAGGCCAGCCTGGGCTACCAAGTGAGTCCCAGGAAAGGCGCAAAGCTACACAGAGAAACCCTGTCTCGAAAAACCAAAAAAAAAAAAAAAAGGACTAGAAAGAAATAGAGCCATGCATATTTAAAGACTGTACAGTACTATCTTGCATGCCTGAGCATCCAACTCCCCCAGAAGTATGGAACAGCTGGTATGTCAACGGCAGATGTGAACGGCATTACTTAAGTACAGATACTGCTTTGTGACCAGGGGAACATACAGAGCCGGGGGAAGAACATGAACGAAGAAGACTGGAAATCATGGAAGGAATGACTTTTAAAAGTGGCCAAACAACATCCTGAGAGTGCAATAGTGGCGTGCATTTGTGTGTAGGCTAAGCCCCAACAGCTCCCTCCACAAGAAGGGAATCGTGCCTGGGACTGGAAACCCAGCCGACCGCCTGGTGCTAGTGATATCATGAGCCTTGAAGGAGAACCCACAACTGCCACATTCCTAATCCAGCAAGAGTCCTAACTGCATTCTAAATAATAATCCTTACATCCACAGGTAAGTACAGGTCTCACCCCTCATCAAAGAAACATGTTGTCGTCGTCGCAACAAATGGAGACCATTACAGAAAACCACAACAGATCAAAATGCGGAGAACAGAGTGACTAGATGATACTCAGCCCCAACTGAGATGTCTACAACACAATTTCCTGTACTGTACCTAAGGCTCGGGGATCATAGTGCAAGAGGAGGCAGAAAGGTAAGAAACAGAGGAACAAAAAGTTCGCTGTGAGATGTTTCCTAGGGATGTCAGAGAAGCTGCACCCATGAAGTCTCAACAAGATGGCTGCCTAAACAAGACCTGAACAAGGAAGACATCAATAGACACGCTATCCCAGAAGGGGTAAATCTCACGGGGCCTCAACCCATGATAAAGAACTACAGGCAACTAAGGAATGCTAAAGTCGGGAGGAAAACAGTCTTCCCCAGAGAAGAGCCCCTAAACTGGTTATCCAATACCAAGTGCCCAGCCCTGAAGTCATATCCATATATATATAGCTGAGTCTATTATCCTCATTTTACAGATAGAGAACTTTATGTGGAAATCAGTTGAAAAGAGAATGAGAAACACTTTTAAATCATAGCAAGGCGCGTGGGAGTTTACAGAACCCATAACCAACACATGTGGTGTTTAAGGCGGTACTTTAGGATTGAGAGTTTAGATTTAGGATTTATGAAACTACAAGGCAAAACTTTTTTCTTGATGGAAACACAGAACGTTAAAGTTGGGGAGAAAAAGTTTTCCCCCCTCCCTTGGAGAGAATATGGGGGGGAGGGATTGTAACCTGAACCGTGGGAAATATTCAAACAGTGACAGAGGACTGAGCAGAAACTCAAGGGATTATCAACAGGGCTCGGTAAATAATTAAACACAAATGTGAGAGAGGGAGGAGTCAAAGGTGACTGAGAGGACAATGACATTAAAAGGGGCAAAGGTCATTTTGAAGATAAAATATAAAAAGGGCTATTTCTAGACTAAAACTGAAACTTGCAACCTAGCAAAAGCACCCAGGCTCTCTCGTCCGGCTGCATCAGCATTTTCTAACCTTACTTCCTCTTGTTTACTAGCTACCAGTAATCAAGACGCTAACTTGTATGGGACAAAAAAGCTCTCATTGTTTTAAGCAATAAAACAAACACACTCAAGGGTTTATTGATTACTTGAACTGAAATTTCCAGAGGAATCCAGCCCGCATTGATGGGCATCAAGCATCTAGGCTGCATCTCCGTCTTTGAATCTGCTTTTTTGTTTTTTCCTTCGTGGTGCCGGCTTTTTCATTAGCCACACACACAAAAAGGCTTCCTTCTTCCAGCTTCAAATCCACTGGAAACGTTTTCTTGGTAGTGGCGGCCCCGGCTGAGAGAGAACTCAAGGTTCCCCCTTGGCAGTGTCCTGCCTGGCCCACAGGGACTGAGTGGAGAATGGGTAAGTTGTTCAAAGGAAATGACCCAGAGCAGCAGAGGGATTCGGAACAGCAGAGATGCGCAGGAAGAGCCTTTCAACGGCGAAATGAACAAAGCATGCACCAGTTCTTCAGACAGGGTCTGGTTATGCAGCCCACATTAGCCAGGAATTTGAGGATTCTCCTTCCTCAGCGTTCACACTGCTGGGAGAGCACGAAGCTAAATTCGCCGGTTTTGAAGTTCTTTTATTCTGAGCATACACCAAAAATGTAATTCTTACTGAGGTGGATCTAACCTTGGAGAGAGGATTTTGAAGCTAAGGTTTATTAAGAGTACAGGTTTAAATTGATTTTTAAAACATGTTATTAGGAATTAGGGCTTTCAGGGTTTCTTTCCCAATAATTCGGGTGCAGTGGCCACGAAACCAGTGTAAAATAGGGTCCTGGCTCATCCCTGGAGCCATCCTCATCTTTTACAGTGCCTCTTGCCTTTTCATAAAAGGACCAAAAACACGTCCCGACCTTTTGCAGCTCGGATCACTTGGGTCGCCCATGCCCACCTCCGGGGAGCAGCCGGGAAACGGAGTCCCCGGCAGTCCACGCACCTCCTGGAGAGGAAGCCGACCCGATCCAAGTCGGGTTGGAGGAGTTTAACTTGGCGTCAGCTAAGCTCTTTGCTTTTTCCAGGGACAGAGGCCCCTCTCGGGCCGGCGGCTCCCACAGGCAGGGAGCGCCCGCATCCCGGGGAACCGAGAGCCGCCCAAACCGCGGCGGCCGGCCGCACCCTCCCACCAGGCCCCGCCTCCCGGCCCGAGCTGAGAAGGGGGCCCCGGGGCATCCCGGCTTCCCTCTGCGGCTTCCCAGAGCGTGCACACGCGGGCCCCGCGGGAGTGGGGTTTCCTCGGGCGCCCGGGATCCCCCGGAGCAGCGCAGCGCAGCGCAGCGCAGCGCGGAGCGGCGCGCGGCCGCCTAACGGGGAAAAGTCGCATGCGCGCCCGGCC